TTGATGGCTGATATGTATAAACATGGATCAGTTTTTTTTCCAAAGCTCTTGAGACATCGCAAAATTTTTTTTTGCTATCAAATAAAAAAAACTACGTCTATGTCAATAGTTTTTTTGGTCGACTGACTTTTTTTAGCTCTAAACTAATGTCCATTTTCCAACTTACGTCCTTTTTCCAAAAATCCCATGCTTTAGATTTTGGTATTCATTTTTTTTGATATTCTTTATAAATTATAATTTTTGAATGAAAAATCCAATTGTTGAACTTTTTACGCACCAAAAATATGCCCATAAAAATGTAGCAACGTTTTTGTTTGGTTTTGTTTTTTAATTTTTTGTTGAATGCAGCAGGAAGCTGTGAAAAACCGCAAAATTGAATAATGAGGTTTTTTATATAAAAACGCATCGTTCAAATTTATTTTCACACCATTAGTCCGAATAATTTAAAACAGCACTGTATTGGCATCCTCGAAAAACGCTTAAAAGATGAAACGACTGTATTGATTAGTTTAATTGCGCATGATTTTCAGTTTTGATGAACCAAGTGAACTTTCACTAATTTAATCTGTGTTGCTGCAAAAAAGAATTTTCAGTATAGTTTTTCTTGTAAATTCTGATAGTTTCTAGCTTTATTTGCCTTAGTTTATGCACGCCAAAAATTTATGCTCTCTAGTGAAAAAAGAACAAGAACCGCGTAGAAAACCTATACTAAGGCTTAAATATTTTTAATCTCGAAATAGAATACTAAGTGCCAAGGTACGTAGCGAAGACATTTCCTATATATGTTGTAATTTCTTTTTTCATGAAGAGACTTCAAATTTGCTCGCTCTCAAATTAATTTTTTTTGCAAATTTTGGCAAGGTCTACTATAGAACATCAAAAGTGTGAAAGTCACAAAAATGGTCAATGAATTTTAGTTGTCTAGTTTTAAAATAGACTTTAAATTTCTGAGTTTACAGCAAAAAAAACTACTATTCCAGTTTTATTCTAAAGAAGATGTTTTGAAAGAAAAAGGCCTGTTATAAAAATTCTTGAATTCAAAAAGCTCTTACGCGATCCATTTGCTGTCTTCGAAATTCAAAAACTTGTGTTTTTTTAGTTCTTTTACAAATTCCAACGGTCTGTTGGCTATGTTTTATCTGTTCGATGGGTCATTTAAAGGTTTTTCAACAATCTATGTTATAATGATGCAATCATGTAACAACGAATCTGGCATGAGAAGAATTTTTTTTCGGCAAACAATTGATCCGCCATCTGCGTGGTAAAACGGAGAAACATGTATCAATTTGTTTTGGTCAATGAAACAATCCAATATTGAGAACTTAATCAATCGGATGGAACTTATTTATCTGCAGCCGGCCAGAAGTGAACAAGAACTGGAAAACGGTCAAAAGATATTGGCGAGACCGGCTGTTTATTTCGAAGAAAACAAAAAAGTTACCAGGACAAATCTTGCTAAAAAGTTTTCTTACATAAAACAGAAACAAAAAGTTCCACTGGATGAAGTCTGGAACACGGGTAAAAAATTTGCCTCAAGTAACACCTGGCACAAATAAAGGACAAAAAATGTTGCTAAAAACCTCAAAAACTTAAAAAATGCTTCTCATCTCTTTCTAGGATTTCTATAAATACACTGATCAAGCGTTTGTTTAGAAAATCAAAAAAAAAAGTTATAACTTTGCAAAGGCCACAATCAGGCGCCAGAACGAAAGAGGTGTACTACCCAATATAGCAAATAGAGGAGAGCGAGAAATAGAGACCAATATGTTTCGATGAAAATGTTGCAGATGTACTGTTCTTCTCAATTGGCCATTAAGGGTAATGCGCCTTAGAATCAAATCGTTTTTTCCCTTCTGACGTCTTCTTGAGAGTTTTGCGAAAGGTTTAACTTCATTTTGGTTTTCTAAACGAACGTTTGATTTGCAAATTTCATTGGGCAGATTTTGTTGCTTTCGTCAAACTAACCAGCTGGTATCGCCAATTTCTCTTGAATCGTTTCGTTTTCTGGTTCTTGTTCAATCTCGGCCGGCTGCAGACAAATAAGTTTCATTGCTTTGATGATATTCTCGGCATGAATTATTTCTTAATTGATAGGCGATTTGAAATATGATGGTTTTTAGTTTTCAAGTTTCAAAACGGATTTTAATGTTTTGATTTCTCCAGATTATAAAACTTATTAGAATTCCACAGATACCTGGCATTGGAAAACTAGGGAAAAATTTTATCAGAAGTTCACAAAAATTAAATTGCTTCACATGTTCTATGAAATCTCTGACTAGACTAATTACACATTTGTTTAGAAAAACGAAAGTAAGATTAAAGTTTTGAAAAATTCATCATTATGCGTCAAAAAAATGTGCTGGAGATAAGTTTAAGGTGCACTACCCAATATGGCATATATAGGAGAAGGAGAAAGAAAGGTGATCAAATTTTCGACGAAAATGTTGCAGATCTACTCTTCTTTACTGGTTTTTTCGGGTAATGCACCTCAGAAAATATTCTTATTTTCTTTTTCATTTTTACTTCACTGAACTTCTGCGAAACATTTTTTTTCTCGTTTCTCAATGCCAAAAAAAACATGGAAAAAAATTTGTATCCGTTAATCGTATTTCATCTTGACGGATTTTTCCGCTTCTGTTTTTACTTTCACATGTCTTGCAATTTTTAGTGCTTTTTTTCCGACGCAGCTAGCGGATCAATTGTTTGCGAGAATAGAGATGTTTCCTAGATTCGTTGATACATGATTGCGCTATTCCAAAAAGTTTTGTTAAAAACCCTTAAAACTACCCACCAACAGATTAAACATAGCCGTCAGACAATTGAATTTTTGTAAAAGAACTCGAGGAAATTTTGAAAAAAGTTGAATGGAAAAGTTTGAAAGTTTTGAAATTCTGACTTTTGAAGATAAAAATAGATAACGTTGAAGCCTTGTGAATTTCAATAATTGTTTATGATTGGCCTTTTTCTCTCAAATTACCTCATTTAGAGTAACCTGGAACAATGTAAGTTTTGGAATTATAGAGGATGGCATCAAAAACATGGCCCTCAAATGAATGCTTTAAGAGTAGCCATGAAAAACGAGATAGATAATTTCGACCACTCAAATGATCAATTGTTTTAAGCAACAAAAACAAATTGCTGTAAACTTTTATTGCAATCTTGCAGTCAAAAACGAATCGGGCGGCTCTAAATAACAAAAAAGAGAGAGACATTTGCATAAAAACGTTAGTGGTTTTGTAGAGGGAGATCTCGCCGTTTTCCCAGCAAAAGGCGCTCTTCGTACTTCTCGTTATTTAAAGTTCAATTTAGAAAACATTAAACATGACTATGTAAGAATTGGCATTCCGAACGAATCTTTGAATACTGATGTACATAAACTCTCGGTCTACCAAACTGTAAATAATAAAAATTTTGATTATTAAATGCACGACCTTCATCTGGTCAGAGATATATTGACAGTTACTCACCTCTTTATTTTGCACGGATTTTTGTTAAGTATCGGCCTAGGAAAGGAAACTTTTGTCCACTAAGACGATAAAAGTAGATTCAGCTGTCCCGTGATCCTTTTTAACGCAACGTCTTTGACGAACTAAAATCAAATGGCCGGATCCTAAAACTTAGCCACTAGACACAGGTACGAAAGATCTGTACTGCAGTTATTGTTCCGACTTTCGATACGAAAGTAACGGAATATTTGTGCTCGGGGTGGGTTTTTTTTTCTTCAGACAAATTTCGACTTTTTAACTAGCCATTTTTGACGGAATTTTTTTATATCATTCAAAAAGTGTTGTTGTCCTGAGCTCAAATTTGAAAAGATATTTCACCTGTGATCATTTTTCATAAAGTTATGGGGGTTTTAAGATTGCCATTTTGGCCAATTTGGGACAATTAACGCGCGATGTATTTCGCGCTATTAACGCGTAAGCCGAGAGTTAATCCGTCTTAAAATCGTTCCAAATTGGTTGAAAGACGCTTATTTGCCATAATTGATTTGTTACAAGGAGCGAAATCTATCCTTTTGTACTTTAAATGGCGTGTGGGGGGGATGATTTTCATGAAATATTTCAAATTTTAGAAAAAAAAAATTCATTTTATTTTGTCTTACATTTAATTTTTTAATGTTATTACTGCTCCATAAAACCTTAAAAGGCAGTCGGAACATTCAGGGCTTCGCCCTGGTACGAGCAGTCTTGTTTCCATTATGCTGTTAAGATACTCGGAAATCTTTCTAGTCGCAATTAAATCTAATGGTTGGCTCTTCAAAAATCATCCGGAAAACCCTGAGATAAAGGAACACTGGGCATTGACAGTTTGCCGAAAGTGGGTAAAAAAAAGTTACATATAGGCAGTTTCTTCGACTCAAATCAACCAGGCCAATTGAGGCAAACCTTTATGTCATCTCCATCTGAATTGTAATAAACGTAACCGAGAAAATTCTGGAAAAATACAAGATTTCTTTGACAGCACTGGAAAGATCAAGAACAAATTGGAACTATCCAATTTGTTCTTGATCCATCTTCACGATCCCCTAAAACCCATATGTTGAGAGGAGAAAAATTCCTCTTAAATAATTGTTACCAGCAGTAAAATAAAACTTTACGACTGAACTCCAATTGGGTTGTCAATATGTAAGTTATAAGCTTCAGTTTTAAATCACAGCAAAAAGGACTTTATTCTGGTCATTCGATGGCCAAACAGCTTTCTGTGAATGACGTAATCTTGAGAAACTCAACAAAACCCAGGAATAAAATCAAGTCATGCGGCGCAATCTTTGTTTTCATTGAAGATCTTTTAGTTTTGAACTTTTTAGTTCCTTTTTTTTACTCTTTATCATCCGAAGTTCAAATAGTGCAAGTTTTTGAGTCTAAATACTATCGTAATATGTTTTTTTATGCAGTTCGAGACAATACAAATACATATCAACCGAATGACTTGATTATGTCTTGATTTGGTTATGACAACATTTAACACTTTGTTAACCTTTGTGTACAATGTTCTAGCAGCCAGCGGGTGGTGGTAATAAGGTGAAGATCAATGACTACCTGGACACTATGTTTGCTGACCCTGGACCCCAGTGTCTCCTGTGGCTGCCTCTGATGCACCGGATGGCCAATGTGGAGAATGTGCTGCACCCCATTGCATGCTCATTCTGCAGTGCCGAGAGCATGATGGGGTTCAGGTGGGTTTCTTCTGAATCATAAATATCCAACTTGTAAATGGCAACTTGTAACTTCCAACTTTTAAATGGCATTTCATGGGGGTAAAAATAAAGAAATTATTTGACATGTTATGATGTCTAGTTTATCAAGACATAGCCAATCAACGATACACCATAAGACGTCATACACATTACTGTGTGTCATACACACATACTTTACTTGATACACATTAATGTGTGTCAAGTAATGAACGTGTGTGACACACTGTGAAATGTGTATGGCCTCATAAAACGTATCGTTTGATGATTATGTCTTGCTGACCTTGGCATCCTGTCATATCTTTTCTTCTTTGAAAATCGATCCATCTCGCAATGTCAAGTACAAGCTCAAACTAAAAAAATTTTGCATTGTTAACGCAATATTTGGATCAACTTGTTTTTTCCGACTTTCGTACAAAATGACGGAAGATTTGTGCTCTGGGTGAATTTTTTTCTCCAGATCATTTTTTTAAATGTCCATGAATTTGTTTTATATTGAACCATAGAAGTTGAAATGCAATCGGGACATTCAGAGCGTCGCCTTGATACGAGCAGGCTTGTCTTAATTTAGTTTGGAACCAGTTTCGAAACCAACGAAACTAAGCAATAACAGAGAATTCGGAATATCTCGCAAAATATTTATCATTTATGGGCCAACTTGGCAATTTCGAACCAACAAAACTTTTTTTTTTCAATTTGAGCTGAATACGTCAAATTTTTAAACACAAACCCAAAAATTCTGACACAACACATTTGCTGCAATCTTTTTTGCAGTGAAATCTGAGCCAAAATATTTCGGTCATTTTACTGGCCTGTCGAAATAACAACAAAAAGAATTTGAAGGATAAACAAGACTGCTCGTATCAGGGCGAAGCCCTGAATGTTCCGACTGCCTTTTAAGGTTTATGGAGCAGCAGTAAAAACATAAAAAAGTTAAATGAAATTTAAAAAAAAATGAAGTTTTTTTTTCTAAAATTTGAATTTTTTTTATGAAAATCATCCCCCACACGCCATATAAAGTACAAAAAGAGAGATTTCGTTCCTTGTAACAAATCAATAATGACAAATAAGCTTCGTTCAACCAATTTGGAACGATTTATAAGACGGATTAGATCTCCGCTTACGCGTTAATAGCGCGAAGTATATCGCGCGTTAATTGTCCCAAATTGTTCAAAATGGCCATATTTAAACCCTCATAACTTTACGAAAAATGATCACAGGTGAAATATCTTTTCAAATTTAAGCTCAGGACAACAATAGCTTTCGAATGATGTAAAAAATTCCGTCAAAAATGGCTAGTTAAAAAGTCGAAATTTGTCTGAAGAAAAAAAAAAACCCACCCCGAGCACAAATATTCCGTTACTTTCGTATCGAAAGTCGGAACAACAAGATGGCTCGTTTTCTTATAGTTTGTCTGGATAAAAACCACCCGAGCACAATTATTCCGTCAATTTCTTCAAAATTTCGATTAAAAATTGAAAAGAGCTAATGCCTACTGAAGAACTTCGCAATGCCTACTTTTGAGATAGTAAAAACAACTCTTAGCAAGCTCATGCATTCTATGCTCAAACAATAAATGTTGAACTAAAATGCGTACAATAAATAATCAAACAATATACAGAACGCTGCTCTTAACTCAAAGGTCTTGGGATCAAATCCCACTTCGCTAAAGATTGGAGGGGTCCCAGTTCATCCCTCTCCGCAAGGTGGGACCAGCTAGGGTCAAAGAAATGACAACATCAACCCACCTCCGCTGAAGTAATGCCCAAAATAGTCAGGAGGAAGTAGGGCCAAGAGCAAATAAAAGTTATACTATTTTAGTCATTTTTATATTTTTGTTCATTTTCCGACTATTTTGGAATTTAATGAACAATTTCTAAATAAAGTAACCTAATTCATTGTAGCTGGTTAGAAAACACAACTTAGCTCGAAATTATTTCAAGTTATATTTTTTACTTCCTGCAACTTGATTTTTTTGTCCAGATACAAATGTCAGAGGTGTGCGAACTATCAGTTGTGTCAGACTTGTTTCTGGTATGGACAGGCCAGTGGTACCCACTCCAACGATCACGAGATGAAAGAGTACTCCACCTATGTAAGTGACGAAACACTCCACCTCTTTTCAGCAAAAGTAGTTTCTGAGTTAAATGCCAAAGTACAAATCACTACAATAATTCTGAATTCATTTGATTTTTACGACTAGCATTACTGATTAATTCATTCTTCTGAGCTCGCCGAGTGAACAATTTTTTCATAATTGTCACAATCGCAGCTAAAAATTTTTTTGATACTTTTTAAATTGACCTGAATTCGAATAGGTTGTATAAATGAAACAGTAGAAATTGTTTCAGAATTTTGTTGAGCTCCCCCTCCCCCGCTTGAAAAAGGAGGAAAGTTTGGTACACAAAGAAATGTATATGCTTAACCGTCGACTCACCCTCTTCAGGGGAGGATCTAGGACTCGGGGGGTTTTCTCGATTTTCTGTAAATTTTGCCGACTATCTTTTTTAGGCAGGGGCGGATCTGGGATTTTCTCGAGGTGGCGGGCAGGCATTTTTTTCGAAAAAAAAGGCCAAAAAACGCGTTTTTGGCATTTTCAGAAAAAATTTTGACCTAAAAAACGCGATTTTTCGGGGCACTACTCGTTCAAAATCAGTTTGATATTGGCGCAAAAGTATATTCAGCCATAAATGGATATCTCAAAATAGTGCAAAGGGGGACCCTGTAGTTCATCAGGGGGTCGAATCCTTGAAGAGGGGGGTATTAAAATAAAAATAATCAAAAATGCCATTTTGAAGCTTTTGACCTAAAATTAACGTTTTTTTTGGCGCGTGCTGCCCCTTCAAAATTAGTATGCAAAGACAAATTAGTGTCTCAAATGCCTGAGGGAGAAGGCGTCCGCCCCCTCTCTCGATCCGCCCCTTGAGTCTCTTTATAGTGGTGAATAATTCTACTAAGTATCACAGGGTGGAAAATAGTTACAAGATCAGTTCGAACTCTTTGATGTGAAGTATTGAAAACTGATTTCAGAAGTCGCCAGCCAAACAGTTCACCCACACCCTTAGAAAAGGCACCATGAAGTGTCTGCCTGCCACTGCACGCGGAGTGAAAGGGGGGCCCACTTGTGTGAGTGGGATGGGTGCGGGAGGAGAGGGGGGCAGCCCGGATGGGAAAATGTCGTATGGTATAGACACGGTAGACGGACCATCTGTCAACCTGCAGCACATAATGTAAGTGATATTCTTTATTATCCAGGTAATGAACAGAAATTTAAAAAAAAACCACAACTGACTGTTTATTGATAGTTTTTTATAATTAGTTGCAAACTGTTTTTTTAGTGACCTCTCCAAAAATTAGTTTCACTCATATTTAGCTTAATAATCAAAGGGCTTCAACTTTTGATACATCTTTTCTGTTGGTCGAAAACCAGCATATGATAAACGGCTTGCAGTAATAACATAACAGAATTCCAAATTTAACATGTTTCCGCCAGTCAAAGCCAAATGCTAAGCTTGCATACAAGTCTGTCACAATCTCAAGCTGATAAAACTTAACTTTATCCTCATTTTGTGTAAACACAACAGACATGCAAACTGAAAAAGCTAGTAAGCCTGATGTCACGAATACGAGTCTTTTGGACAATTCAGAGGGCTTAATGTCCTAGACACTGATACCAGTGAAAAAACTAAGCCAACATAACTGTTAATAAAACTTTTTGCACCGGCTATGGGCTATTCAAACCTTCGGAAAATGTACAAAACATAGAAACAAACATACCATTTACCAAACTAATTCTTTTATAGGTCCTAAACGACCCAAAAATAGTTAGCCGGATTTAGAGATGCGATGGGTAGTATCGTTTTTAAGGGTTGTTTTGAGCACTACAAGGAGCAAGCCAAGCTCAACAGCTTCCCAAAAAAAACTTGTACACATTTGAGCCCAAAGAATTTCAAACATTTTGTGTTGTTTACGAGGATGTTTCCTCAACAAAAACTCCAATGAAAAAAGTTTGGTTGGGTGACAAATTCAAAAAACTTTTCAAGTTTTAATCCAGCCAGATTTTTTGAATAGTTTTGTCAGCCATGCATCAAACTTTCAACCCTCTACCTTACATAGTCGTTTATCTAAGTTTTCTTTATTTAGTGAACGCTTGTCTATAGAGAGTTGCAAAAAGTTCGGACACACAGAATTACATAAAAAGAGCAATCGTTCCATTTTTATAGACTTTAGCATGCATTTTTGTTCAGAGACACAATTTTGGTCTGATAAATTAGGTTTTGCACTTAAGTTCCAAAATAGTTCCATTGCTCTTTTTAATTAATTTTGTCTGTCCGAACTTTTTGCTACTAATTATAGTTGTCTGCTTACTATTATCAAAATCATTCACTGAGTTTGAACTCTCTGATAACTGAAGTATAAGAGACGCTTATAATCTCAACTCGTCAAAGGACTGTAGAAAATTTTCGTCTTTGAATTCTCAGCGCCACAGAAAAGATCTCTTGAGTAGTTTTGATTAGTTTGATCTAATTATTGACTTTATACAAGTTTTTTTTAAAAAAAAGCAAAACGGCTTACACTGCCAGTAAAAAAATAGGCTTCACTAAAGACACTAAAATTTTTCCAAACACTTGTGATATTTTCTTCCGATCACTGAAAGTGGGATTGAACTGTGTCTGTTGTTTGTTTTTTTTTCCTTTTGAAACAAAAATCCACGCAAAAATCAGGTACCACAAATATTCACCAGAATGCTCCTCGTTTTATATTCTGCAGAAGCCCTTTCAGTAGTGAGTCGAACAATTTTTTTAATTATATAAAGTTTCTAATTACAGAAAAAATCGTCTGAATATTTTGCTTTTGTTATGTTGACTTATTTACCTTGTGGAAATTTGATGAGAAGGGGTGGTCTGCTGATGTGTGTTTTATTGCTTCTTAGTTTCAGTTTGATACGGCTTTTATTACCCTATATTTTAATCCCCTACTCCTGCCGGAAAAGAAGTTGCTCGTACTTTTTGTTTCTAGTTTTCTTTTTCATTTGCTTTAGAATTATTATTTTTTTCGTTTTACAAACGACTATTATTGAATTAAAAGATAATTTAAAAAACAATGGTTCTTTTCTTTTCGTTACTTTTTCAATTATTAAGTGGGAAGGAGCTTTGAATTCGATTGTTTTTTTTTCACATTTAAACGTCATATACGATTGAGTGATAAATCCTGTAATCCCCCTTTCAGTCGCTTTTTAAACTGTATTTAACTTTTCGCAAAAAATTTTCGGTGTCGAGAAAAATCATTTTCAGAAATGTTGCGACAAATTTAGATTGATTATCTAGTCTTCACAAAGTTGATGTACTATTTACTTTTTAAAGAGACTAATAGTTTTTTCTTAGTGATCAAGTTGTTATTAACTATTTCTTGTAGCTTCTGTTACCATTTTTCTGTAAAAAATTAATATCGGAAAAGTTTGCAGATATTGTTTTTGTTTGTTTGTATAACATTTTTGCAATTATAACTGAGGCCGTAGTTTGCTACGATAATCGTACTGCTACCAGTTACTGATTTTATTTATCTATAATTTTGTCTAAAAGCAGTTATAGTTCGAATTATTTTTTTATAATTTTTCAAAAACTGAGGACTTACAGGTTTTGTCTTCTAAGATGCAACATTTTCTGACAATTTAATTGTTTTTTTTTTGTAGCAGAACTATAACGATGAAAAAACAGTTCTAAGAATTTTTAATGCTTGTTTGGAATAACTGCAACAAGCTGTGTGCGCTCGGAACATTCGATTCACTTGCACATTATCTCGATGCCAATTCCAGCGATGAAAATTTAATAACGAAATTAAATAGGCAGTCATTAATATATTCAATTTCATTTTCCGTTTCAAAACAGCGAAGACCACTAGACACTTAAAACAACTGATTTTGAACCATGCATTTTTAATACCTTGAATTATAAAATTTCTCCGCATTCCTCAGAAAAGGGAAATGTTTTACCAGGACTTAAAGGCTGGTAGCGCTGTAATTACATCTCTCTCCCTCAATCATCGAATAGCTTTTTGATTGCATGAGGCGTGATTATAATTTATTGATTTAAAATCAGATTCTGAAAGGAGATTTAGACAATTGCATTTGCCACCTTCCGATTTTGCGAGAAAACGGTATTAAGATTAAAATATCTTTCATTTTACTGTGAGACTCAAGCGTGAACTAATTGACCATTTCAGTTCCAGTTATCAGTTTTTTGAGCCGTTAGATAAATTTTCGACGACTTCCAATCTTTCTTTTTGAGCCTTATGCCTCAAAGAACATTCCAACTGCATAACAGCCACACAAGATATGATAGAACCGCTCTCCCCTTTTAATGCGATTAAAATTCAATTTCGAAATTTCAATTCTGCGTGAAAAACCTTTTTTCTTTTCATTTTCCCCCAAATGCGGATCCTCATTTAATTGATTAGCGCCTTTGTAAACCGGTTACAGGAAATAATGTCGAAATTCCTCAACTCGTGTTAGAAAAAATTATCTTCTAAAACTACAGCCTTTCACCTGGCCGACAGAAATATGGATGATTTCCTTTTTCCTGATATTTAATTATTGCCAAGATATCCTTCCCAATAAGCAAAAAATAACCTTGCTTTGCGGTTGATATAACACGAGGATGGTCATTTTTTTGTGAAAGCTCAAATTTTACCACTCGATCATCGATCAAAGTCTGCTCTCATCCAGACAATGCGATTTAATTTATTTTAGAATGAAGAACCTTCGTTTTTAGCTGATCTGAACTAATTATTTTCTGCTTACGTCAGTGAAAACGACTTCGCGCATTCATTTAGATAACAATGGTTTTATACGCAATTTGAGGTTTTAATTAACAAGTTTTTATTTCTTGACTTAGTTTTGTCTGCGTCGATTATTGGAAGCATTTTTCTTTGACGAAATTCAAGTAATATATAAACACTTTCAACGAAAGAGTTCAGTTACGTTTTAAACAACGGGGCTTCCGGTGTCCCATTTTTAATGATAAAATACCCTACTTTCTCCAAAAAAGCTACTTATTTTTTAAAAGCGCTCATATGTCTTCCACACTTATTGAGACACAAACAGATTGCATTTTGAGGCATACTTTTTAGACAAAATTTTCCTTCTTTTCGACAAACCGGTCTTTTCGACAACAAAATTACGGATGCATTTGCCAATCTAGTCGATGGGTTAACTAGACGCTAATTTATGTTAATATAGTCGCTTTTCCGCTCCTTTCCCCGCTTAGAGTTGTTTTATAGCTCATCTTTTTGATGCATTTGAGTGATTACCACCCAATCAAACCAACCTTGCTAAAAACAAACAGACCTAAAAATTATTTAAGCAACTATTGCATATATATATTAATATCCGTGGTGGACTGAGTTCAGTTCTATTATTATTGCTACTATCGGCAAAATTAAGAATTATCAATTTCCTATTATTTCAAAACACCATTTTCTTCTAATAGTTTACACGATTTGTTTACTAAACAAAAAGTTCGGCTATGTTTTCATCATTTTTTTTTTCGAGAATTTTGTAGTTAAAAAATTAAAATTGTGGAAATCTACAAACTTTTGCAACAAAAAGCCTTTTTGTTGATTTATTCTCTACCAATAATAAGATTGTAATACCTTAAAAAAAACTGTTCTGCCAAAAAATTTAAATATATTTAGTCTAGTTTTTCAATGATTTCTGTATTCAAAACTACTATATTCGAAAACTGATTTTAGTTCTGCCGGCCGCATAGAACTTCTGCGGGTGATCTTTTTCTGTAACTTGCTAATTATCTAACTTTTCTGTGAGTGAACAAAAAAGCCGCAAGATTTTCCAAAGTTTTCGATTTTTAATAAAAATGACCCAGAGCAGAAAGTACTTAAGAGTTTTTTTAAATGGATGAAAATGATGGATGAAAATAGGTCTCGTAGCGAGTGTGAAAAAATGAAATTAGCCCAAATTGAATTTTCATCTGGGCTGGTCGGTGCTAAAATATAAGAGGTGAGTTGAGGTGAAAGTCTTATGCACAGACCGTTTATAGCCCCATTTCCCCTGGCGGAAAACAGCATTCTCTTTGAACGGGTCCAAAAAGAATGCTTTCCCAGTTTTCCTCAGTTTCCAGTTTTTTTCCTGCTCACCTTGCGTTGGTACACATTTATGTTTGTTCTTTCCATTTAATAAGTACACTGTGACCTTTCATTGCCGCTTCAAACAAAT